CCTCTCAATTCCCTAAACCGTGGTGCCGGCAGTGCTTTCGTAAAAGCGTCCGCAACGTTTTCGAGCGTCGGACAATATTGGAGTTGGATGGTGCCGTTTTCGACAAGGTCGCGGATGTAATGATACCTTATGTCAATATGCTTGGTGCGTGCGCGGAATTTGTTGTTTGATGCTAACGCTATTGCTCCTTGGTTGTCGCAGTAGGTGGGGATACATTCATCCATCGGCTCGTATAGCTCACTGATGAGACTTTTTAGATATAGGATTTCGCGCGCTACCGACGTCAGCGCAATATATTCCGCTTCGGCGGTTGATAAAGCAACTAGCGACTGCTTTCGCGCGCTCCACGCTACTGGAGATCCGTGCAACAGGACGATATAGCCCGATATTGAGTGTCGATGGGGCTGACTCGCCCAATCAGCGTCTACAAACGCTTCTAAACCTTGATTTGTGGTTCCTAGGGTAAGTTTTGAATTCTTTGTCCCCTTTAGATAGCGTATGACTCGTTTAGCAGCTTCCCAGTGCGCACTAGCTGGCTCTCGCATGAACTGCGAGAGTATCGAAACAGCGAAGGCTATATCCGGACGTGTGCTCGTCGCAGCATACATTAGCGATCCAATGGCCTGTTGATACGGTACGTGTTGTTCGGGTATTTCAGGTTTGGTGTCTGGTGAATGGTCTGATGACTCTTTCGTTAGAACTACTCCAGTTTCCATTGGTGTTTGCGACGTTGTCGCATCCTTCATCCTGAATCTCTCGACTATAGTGTCGATGTATGCTTCTTGCGACAACATTATGGTCCGCGCCTTTCGGTCCCTTTCAACCTTTAGTCCTAGGAGCCAGGTAAGCTCTCCTAGGTCCGAAATCTCAAAACGTTTACAAAGCTGATCTTTGAACTTTTGGATGTGCTTTAGGTGTTTTGATGTGACGGCCATGTCGTCGACGGAAACGGTGATAACGGTATGTTCTTCTTCGGCTTGTCGATAGTATACGGCTTGGTCGACTTGAGAGCGCGTGAAGTCGTTACTGAGGAAAAATTCTTCTAGCTCCTCGGACCATTCAAAACCGGCCTGCTTTAGGCCATATAAGCTACGCAATAGCTTTAATACCTTTCCTTCGTCTCCTTCGTTCAAGTATCCTGGCGGCGCGCGCATATATATGTCGTCGTTGAGCTTGGCATTGAGGTAAGCACTTTTAACATCGACTTGATGTATTTCCCAGTTGTGCTTAGCTGCCATCGTTAGGACAGTACGAATTGTCGTCATACTTGAGGTAGGTGCGAACGTTTCTTGATAGTCTACGCCGTACTCTTGACGCTGACCATTTGCGACAAGTCTCGCACGCAGCTTTACCTTCTCGCCATTTGGTCCACGCTTTGTCGCTAGGACAAAATGGCAAGGTATTATATTCGCGCCTTTAGGTGGGTCCACAATTTCCCATGTCTTGAGTTTCTCTAATTGACCAATCTCATAGTCTATGGCTTGTTGCCATTCCTCTGCGTCTGGTCCATTTAACGCTTCTCTAAGCGTCGGTTCCTTCTCTGCGGCTGCCATGGCCATATATGGAAAAGAATTCGATTGAGTGTTGTCCGGTGAGTTTTCCATTGCTATGGTTGCTCTTTCTCCTTCATTTAACGCTTTGTAGTATCCTGCAGGGGGTCGTACTCTCGTGGTTCTGGGCGTTATTGGGTCTGGAAGTTGCTGTGTACTCTGGGGTGGCGTTTTGGGAGGTTGGCTTGGTGTTTGTGGGACTTGGGATGTTGCGACGGGCTGGACGATATTCGGTATGTTGATCTGTTCTTCCTGGTTATACTCCCCCTCGTCCAGTATGTCGTTACGAACGATGACGTCCGGCGGGACAAAGCTAACATTGCGTTCGACAGATACTCTTCTCTTCTTCGGCCAGTATACTCGGTAAGCTTTACTTTCCTCGTCTATTCCCACAAATTGACCTTCTTCTGCTCTAGCTTCGAGCTTTCCTCCATCTGGTGAGTGCACATAGAGTCGTGCGCCGAATTCCCGTGCGTTTACTAAACTTGGTTTTGCTTTGTGTAGCAATTCATAGGACGTGTATCCTGGGATCGCCCTCGAAGGTAGGCGATTTTTGAGCCATGTTGTGTAATTGACGGCTTCGGCCCATAAAAACTTTGGTAGGTCCTTTGCGAGTAGCATGGCTCGCGCGTGTTCGACTAATGTTCGATTTAGTCTTTCGGCTACACCATTCTGCTGTGGGGAATCGTGCACGGTGAGTTGTCTCTTTATTCCTTTTTCCTTCAGATATTCATCAAACTCCTTGCTTAGGTACTCTCCTCCTCGATCCGACCGTACTTTGCGCAGACGCGCATTATATTGTCGGCTTACATAAGCCTTGTATTCCTTGAATGCGGTAAGTGTGTCGCTCTTTCTCTTCAGGAATGTTACCCTCGTTTCCCGACTAAAATCATCTGTAAAGGTGATATAATACAGGCATCCGTTTATCGTTTCGGTTTGTGCCGGACCCCATAGATCTGTATGGACGAGGTCCCCATATGCGGATGATCTGGTCTTTGACTCGTTTGGAAATGGTTGTCGAGTGGCTTTGGCCTTTGCGCACGTTTCGCAAAAGGTAGGGTTTGAACTTTCATCTAACGTTATACCTCTGATCATGCCCTTCTTTATAGCATTTGTGATCGCTTCGTGGGATACATGTCCCAATGCTCGGTGTAATTCATCGATGGTATGTTTCGTTATTGCTGAGTTTGCGCTATGGGTCACTGATGCCGCGATTCGATATAGTCCTTCTATTTGAGGAATTTCGGCTATGGGTCTTCGCTCTGGTGCTGGGGTCAATATCCTGCACATGTTATCTTCGAGGTGTAATGCGAAACCGGCGGTAGCGATTCTGTTGGCCGATATTAACGTGAATGCCATCTTTGGCGTATATAGGGTGTCTTTGAGAGTCACAGTGGTCTTCTTTGTTCCCAAAGGTAGGTCTATCTTTATATCCCCTTTTCCTATGGCGCTGATGGTAGAACCGTCTGCAGTGTGCACATCTTGTGCTTCGATGGAGGTGAATGTTATGAACTTCGAGCGGTCGGGGCAGAAATGGGACGTTGCGCCCGAATCGATAATGGCTCCTTGTCTCTCGGCAGGTATGTTGATCCTTTTTGCCACATTTGCTAGATCTGACGTGACAAAAGCATAATCATTTGCTCTTTCGATCTTGTCTGCCGCATTAGCCGTTTGTCTTGGCGCCTTTCCACCTTGCCTTGGTCCCTGACCTTCTTTCCCTCCTCCAGGTCTCCAACAATCGGTTTTGTAATGACCCTTCCTCTCGCAGTTGAAACACGTAACATCCTTGCTTGCGGTGCTTGTACGATTCCTTTTTGTACTGTCCTTGGCCGAGTTGGTCTTGTATGGGGTAGGTTCTTTGATTCGACCATCAAGGTATCGCATCAATCCTCGTGCGCGGATCACTGTTAACGCTCTTTCCTTGTAGGTTATCCAATTCGAGCCATCGTCGGCAAGTTTGGGGATGGTGTACAATGAGGAGCTGCTGTGGTGCGTGTTATCCATGATTGTCGGAGCAGGGCTCATAACCTGTAGTTATCTGTAGTTTAGAGTAGATGTTTTAGAGTAGAATATTTGATAAAAAGGCTCAATTCATTGTAACTACTTCGTACAATATATATACTGTTAAACGGTTAATACTATGCGTCCGATCCGAAACATATGAAAACGGACTTGTCTGTTCTCCGTGCTGTGCTTACTAATCGACACCGCTCCGGCTATTCCCGGGTAAGTCGGTGTTCCCTACATTATTCATCTATGTATGTATTACTAATCCTTTTACTCCTGTGCTCGTACAGTCATCATGTACGACTGAGTCCAACACCGTATCTCTTGTTTCAACAGATCAGCAAATGACTGGTGATGGGGCGTCCGTCGTCTCCCATTTCTGCTTCAAAAATAATCACTGAGGCAACTTGTTGCCCATGTACTCCATAGAGTCATTTGGTCTTCCTGACGTATCCCCGGTCATCCCAGAAGGGGCTCAGCGTTGATCTCTATTTGCAGATCTTGGTGAGTACATTGAGCGGTAAACTTGCAGCGTGAGCGACCAATGACCCCGTTGCGAACAAAGAGTTCTGGTACAGCTATGGACCAGGCGATCCAACAGCAGCAGCGCAGCGCCTTGGCTCCTCCAGGCCCCTCCTTTTCACACCTGCAAGTTGCTCTTCCATTTTATCGCCCTCAATACCAATCTCATACGTTCACAGGTTCACTGATGTGCCACCCGCCCTTGCACCTCATCCAACACTCACTCGATGAAGAGAATCACTCCCCAGCTCTAGCTACTCGACCACGAGCAAGACTAGGCACGTCGATCATTTTCAGATAAATTCAAACACCTACATTGCTCGAAAATTTGTCCAAAAACAACTGTACTGATTAGTTCCGAACTAGGTATCGCACCGTCAAATATGATACCAAAGCGAAAGCAGAAACATGGCTCACCGTCGCGACCGCGTCGCTCGGGCTGCCAGCTCAATTTCCAACCGACTACTATTGCTATTGGCAGAACAAACCTTGAGTCTAAGGCGCGCAGGTGGGTCATGTGGTTGAATCCTGCACAGCAACCCGCACATACTCACGAGACAAACGTGACTACAGCAATCCCAATTTGTGCAGCAAGCTTGATTCGTGCCCTTACACGCACTGACAGCCATAGATTCTGTCAAAGCAATAACAGCGGCGAGCAAGGATAAGCACATTTTCTGTGCCAGGTGATATGGAATCTTCTGAAGGGGTTCTCAAATGACATCTTTGAGGATGAGGGAACACTGTAGGACGACGGCCAGCTTTTATACCCTTATGGGCACGATTTTGATCGATTTTGCAGAATTGTTATTACTGTCAGATGGCACAAATTTTGGCAGAACCTGCAGGAACGTATTCAATTGCTTACGACCATCGCATCATAACCTACTGACAAGCATCAACAATTCTCTTCTTCGAAAATCACAACCGCAGAACGCTCGCTCGAATCACCGGTCTCTCACCCCAACGTCTCACTCGTTGCTTCATCATTTGAACCTGCAGTGACCCTGCCAGTGCAGCGACAAAGTTGAGAAGTTGATGGTATATACGTTAAAGAGGACGTGTTAGGCAAAGCAAATATTCAACGAGGCCACAGTCTGAACGTACACAAGTTGTGCTCACCGGTTGTGCAGCTGTGGTATCGTAAGACTGTAGTAGACATAATAGAATGGTTTCCATGATATACATAGCGCAACCGCAGTTTCACTCAGCGTCAGACTCAGACTCCTCTTCCTCTTCCCTCATCTGCAAGATACGGAGGGGGACAGGTCGCACATTACTCACCCACTGTGCAGCGGGGACATAATCAGGATGCTGTGGATCCTCCTCCTCCTCCTCCTCCTCCTCCTCTAAATGAATTTCCCCGGGGATGTTTGCAGGATCCCAACTTGGAATGCGTGCACCAGGTTTGACAATGACTTGCGGTGCGGTTAAGCGGTGAGTGGCAGGTAACATGGTGAAGCTATCGTCCAGAGTGTACTTCCAGAGGCGGCCATTGTGTGGTTTGGGGACCCAGGCCAATTGATTGAAGAGAGTCAAGTATCTTGCCCGGATGGCGTCGACCACGTCTCGTGGCTTGTCCCTCTTCATATCTGCCCAGTCAAGCCAGGATTGCATGGTTGCATAATTCTGTGGTTGGATAGGAGGGAGCGTTCCAAGAGGGGGGAAGAACTTATCGAAAGCTTCCCGCCATTCTAGCACACTTGCTCTCCTCCACTGGACGCGGTAAAAGATGACAGCTAGGTTTGTTTCCTTGTACACGTCATCTGTGACCTTGCAACGTTCATTCATGGTGAGTCTGCAATGGGAAGGGTGGAGCGGCCGGGCCTTCATGTTACCGCATTTTTGGAGAACGTCACTGCAAAATTGATTCCAGTGCTTTGTGATGGTGACCGGAAAGGCCTCATTGAGAGTAGGGGGAGGGTCCAGTCGTTCATCAAATGGTAAATCCTCTCCCACATCTCGCGGGAGTGGGGGGACTGCAAAATCCAAGTCTTGGAAGATGGCCGCAACATCAGGTGCATCGGACTCAGGCTTGTGGCGTTTGGACATGTGTTTTTGGGTTGCGACGTGAGATGCAGGAATCCTTGCACGAGGAATATAAGCAGCAGGATTATACTTGTTGCGAAGGGCGTGGAAGTCGAGGCCGAAAAAGTATTTGTAGGAGTTAGCGTGCATGACATGACCGTATTGCATCCGTGGAACATCAGCAGTTGGAGGCCAGATCAAATCTCTCAGAAAGAAGGCACCATACGCACAAACGGGGAGCTGATCTCCATTGTCGCGGTTAGCTTGTCTAGGAACCAGTTGCAAGCCATCCTGATCATAATCAGCTGTCAGGGGAAGAATAGTGCACATAAGATCACGGGCTGCAGATCCGTCATCTGGGCGGGAGGAGAGACCATTGAACAGCCATAGAAGTCCAGCTGTGAGTGATAGGCTATTTGATGTGAAGCGAAGGTCAGGAGATCCCTGGTTTTGCAATGTCATGGTGCGAATCATCCCTAGAGCACGGACAATTCGCCATTCCCTGATTGGTTGGTGGGTTTAGTGCGCAGAATGAATAAAAATATTTGGGTCAATAAAATGTTATAAGAGCGGAACCGGATAAGACGCTCACCACCAATCTATCCTAGGGAACACGCACAGTGACTGGGACATCAACTCCGCTGGAACTGAAAGGGCACTCCGCACTGCTGCGCTGATGGGCAATCGCATCTCGAGTCTAGCAGCGCAGTCGTGGTGCTGTGCGGCATGGTTGAAAAGTCGGTACATATTGTTCATGTGCGGTGGAGTGATCTGGCTCAAGGCAGCTTTTCCAGTGAGGGCCAAGCCATGTCGTCCGCCATCAAGCTGGTGGACGAGCGCTTTGTCTGTGGTATAAGCCTGCATGTAGACAGGTTCGTTTGGATCTCTTGCGGCCAATGTAACACGAAATCCAGCAACGTGCATTAAGCCAGAGGCACAATCTTTCTGGTAATTGCGAGACCTTGTGACAGTAGCTGCTGTTCTGGCATTGTAGGAAGTAGTGTATGCTAAGATAATCTTTCCGTGAGCATCTGTTCGCCATTGATATGCGTAGTTTGGCTCAGATAGCTCCAGGCCCACATCAATATAGCAATGCGGTTCGTCCAGAAGTCCAAGGTAGTTGAGATCATGCATTGCACGCCTCAAAGCCGTTGTTGCAACATGTTCATCATCTGGCTTGTGCTGGTTAGCCTCTTTGACACCCTGAACTTGGATCATAAATAACATGTCCCGTGCCCACGGGAACGCATCAATCAAAGCGAGGCGGAGATTATATCCAAACCGAGAGACCATATTGGCAGGGAAGGGACGGGTACCGTACTGATACCTGTTGTTTCTCTTGGTGGCACGGGTGAGAGCGCCCTCATAGTCTGTAGACCAATTTGTAGAAGTCTCATAATTGAGCTCTTCAATGACGGGTCGTACTCCCTTCTCATAGATCCCCTTCTTCTGCTCTCGGGTGAGCTCGACATCTTGCCTCTCTGGATCGTACAGACGAGGAAAGAAAGCTCGTACTTTGGTGCGGATGCCGACTGAAGCCAAGCATATGTTTGGGACTCGATGAGGTGACAAATGTGTAGGAGGCTGGTGAGGTCCCCCAGGGAGCCGGATGAGGGTGATGTCACAAATAACAAATGTGGTACGTACATCATGACTGGAAGTTTTCATGGGCACCTTCAAATGCAGAGATGACCGCAGGGTATCATCAGGGTTGGTGACGGGATACAGAAAGAGATCAGATGTGACTGGGAGCCAGTCCGTGAAGGAGATGATACTGTCGTAGTCCCTAACGACCCTAACGACTCTGGGTGCAACGAACCTGTTACGAGTGGGTTCCATCGAATACTGCACATTGCGATGCGTATCCTTTCCAGTCAGGGCCAAATTGCAGGCCCTGTAGTACTCCTCTGGCGGAACGTTATCTTGTTCAATAATCCCAAAAAAAACATCATTGAAGTCAGCAAGGGAGCAACCCTCGATAGTAATAGGGGCTTGTGGAGGCATGCCAAGAAATGGTCTGAGCGGTGGTGACGTTTTTAGGTTTTAGGTTTAGGTTCAGTTTAGCTTGTTGGTCTGATTCTGTTAGTTAGTTGGTTTGATTTTGGGATTATGTCTGTCGAAGAACAGGATTTGGTAACTATATAGTCTACGACCGTGTGACTAGGTATATCCTTGGTTGCGCCTTTATGTAAGTCTAGGCCTGAAAGCCTCGGCTTGTCTCACGAATGAAGAGCTTGAATTAGGAACGGGAAAGGGACTAGGTAGGGTAATAGTTGGGGAAATGCACGTAGAACCGTAAATCAGAGAGTTCACCTTGATCAGTCTTGAATCAAAAAACAGAGAGATATTATTCGAGGGGAAAGTAATTAATACGCTGATTGAGACGGTGAATCGAATTAATCAAAGGTGAACGTGTATAACCATAAATAATTGAGTATGCAAAAGAAACCGATGAGGACGTACACGTACGAGTGGCGCCAAGAGGTATATCTTAATAGCTTGAGGAGTGGGGTTTGCCACGCCAAACCATGACCCAAAGCCACAGCTCGGCCTGAGCTCATGCACTGCTTTGGACAGTGAAATCAACATGTTTTAGTGGGGTCTGAGGTACTCCCACGTCGGATTATACATCCTAGCCAACTCGGGTTAAGAGTGTGGCTAAAATGTTGTTTTTGCAATGAGCATGGTGACATCGAGACCCTAAAACTACTCACCAAAGGTCCTAACGTTGTTCGGCCGAACCGAAATGGGAAATTGTGGTGTGCATGCAAGTAGGCTCCATGATGACCTGCCAGGATGCCGTCAGAGAAGATCACATTGCTTCGGCGTACGGCCAGTGATAAAATCCACCAATATCCCAAGGATCCAGATGCGGAAACAAATAAGACATCAAGCCAGGATCGTTATCAGCAATCAACCCTAACTGTGCACCAGTTATAGACAAAAGAAAACCCTGTAGATTTGTAGAGCAGAAATTCAAAGTTTGAATGCTACCGTGCGACCAACACGTGACATGAGAAGAATATTAAGTGAGAGATCAGTGCGTGTAAGTAAGCGAGTTGGAGGCATATACAAGAGTAAGACTGAAGACATCAGCGAGTGCTGCGGGTATAATTGCCTGTTTCTCTACCACGGAAAAAGCCAGGACCTATCCTTGCACCACGAGGGACAGGAGCGTTCGTAGGGATAGGGGCAGCACTGTAGGATCGCAAGGGCCGACGTATGCTATGCGTGACAATACTTAAACTCGCCCCCGAGGCAAGCACAGCAACCTTTTTCCTTGGAGGCGAAATATGCGGTGGACTCTTTGGAGGACAAGTGTTAGTGGAGGACGAGCCTGATGATGCGGTGCTGCTGCGCCGCCGTTTAGCGATGGTTTTCCAGCTTCGACTATGTGATAGATTGCTAGTGTGGTTTTGGATAGGCTGAGAAGTCGCTAGCGATGCTCTTGACATCATCTGTGTAGGCTCGTCAAGCAGGCCACCCATCCGCTCGCGCTCCTGGTGGACACATGTCTGTTAAGTCATGGTACGTGTGAAGGCTGGTTGGTTGGGTGTACACATTGACTCACCTGTGGCGACATTAGCATGTCGTTCTCCATTGTCAATGGGTCAAACATATTAGCGTCGTCGCAGGGAGACACATCATTGTCAACATCGGCAACTGCGATAAGAGATGTCAGCATGTTGATTCCCATGATCTCCGTGGTGGGACCAGACTTACAATTGGAGCCAACGTCCATTGTGGCTCCCAAAAGGGACTGCAGGTGTGTCTCGGGCTTTAACTCCACCCCTGCGCGTGTCAGGGGACCTGCAGGTGGTGAACTTCCTCCTGCGGGTAGAGGGGGGCTGCCATCGGGTGGTGATTCAGTCGCTGTAGATAGTGAGCTGTCGCCCTACAACCATAAACAAAGAACAGGATTACCGTTCGCCTTGTCTTTGCCTTTTTGTGCGGTGGCTGCCATCAGGGTAGGCTCTCCTTTGCTCTTGCTCTTCCCTTTGGGTGTTAGCGCAGTTTGCTCTCCCTTGTCGTGCTCGCTGTCATCAGGAAGGGTCAAGTCCAAGACCTCACCATCTTCACTGCCACTGCATTTGCTGCCTGTCTTCATCACTTTGACAGGCCGTGTGTACGACTTGCGAGAGACAGTGTCCCGCGGGGATCCAGCGACTGGCTGGGATGGTGCGTTGGGGCTTGTCTCCTGCACCTCGATGTCATCATCACTGGTGCTGTCTTCCTCGCCGTCGTTGTCACAGTCTTGGATGTGCCGTCCACCTGCGGCCGCCAGCTGTAAGCGATTTGCAACCCCTGGTTGGTTGGTTGGTTGGTTGGATGAATGTGTTGCGTTTGTTACACGAAAGTAGCTGTGCGTACCTGAATTAGCAGACAAAAACTGCTCTAACATTGTACCTTTCCCTTCACCATGCTCAACCATAAGCACGTCAACGGTACCTAGCGCCACCATGTTGTACACCAAGACAACCTCCTGCTGCCCCAGCCGCCACGCACGTCCAATTATTTGGTTCACCAACATACGAGACCAACACTGATCCTAAGTGCGTGTGAGATGATATTCCCCCAGCAACATGGGAGGATAACGTACAAAGAGAATGACTACACTGGCAACTGTAAGGTTAAGTCCCACGGCACCAACATTGGAGAACAGTAGGACGCGCGCTGATGGATCCGTGTTGAATTTCTTGACGATTTCATTTCGTTCATCCATGCCATGACTCCCATTGAGTGTCAGCGGAACAATGTTATGCAGTTTGAGCACCTAAGTCATATGAATTGTCAGCATAACTTGCAGTGCAGGGCACAGGAATGCACTCACAGAGGAGAGGAGAGGTACCATCATAGGAAACTCGGTATAGACAAGAATCTTGCGCTTGCCCATCGACATCAGGTGCGGGAACTTCTGATTCCGAGTATTGGGGCAGAGGTCCTGACCTTCATTCTTGACATCGTCCTCTGAGTCGCGCTGTGATGGCTCAGCGCCAGCGTTCTTGACATGTGCCTGGTCCGCTGCACCTTCAGTGAAATTGCTGTCCACGTTAAACTCGTGAACAGGGTGCTCGTCAGACTCCAGATGCCAAGTGAGGAGAGTAACCAGAACGTCGACTTTAGTTGATCTAACATTGGACCACTCTTCCAGCGTCTTCACGATGGGATATATTGGGGATGTATGACGAGGGAATGCCGCCTTGGTGCGCGCTACAAGGTAAAATTTCTGCGCGTATGAGTGAGCCAGTGCAACTCACCCGGGGAGACCGCTGCTCACCCTGTTAAACCTTTCACTGTCACCCAAGATGTCCCCCACTGTCCTGTGTTGTTGTCAATAATCGTAGTGTTCACATGAGGACGGCGCCGTTCACTTACTTGTTGGAAATATGATCCAAGCCATCATTGATGTTCTCCATCTCATCGCCCTTCATGTGCACAGGGGCAATTATCATCAGGTATGGGGGCAACGTATCGTTGATCTTCTTCCCGTCGTGTGTCTTAGATTCAACTGTGCGTCTGATCACACGTCCGTTATACCCTTGCTTGATGTCGCTGATCCACTTCCTTGTGACATCACGCGCACGTGCGGTGGATGCTGATTCTTCATACTGTGTTGTTGCTGTTGTTGCCCCGCCAGCTAATATTTTGATTGTGTGTGTTGCTGCCTCTTCTTTGTCTTGGCGACTGATTGCGCGGCGTGCCGCCCGCAGCAACTTCCAATGCTCCTTCTCACGATCGTCTCCTTGGTGCCCACAAAAGTATGGTATACCTGCCAGCCGACCCAAATTGCACAAGTCCTACAGGTGCGTGAGGGTGTCGAAGTCAACAGAAACAAAACAAATATACCTTGGGACTTGTATATAGTGGTGTGGCCGTACATAGCAGGGACACCAACGCTGCTTTCGTGAGCTCCAGCAGCGCATAAAAATTTGCAGTTAGGTTGCGGAATACGTGACCTTCATCGACTACACATGTGAGGAACTTCTGCTCAAACCAAATGCAGGTCTTCATCAGCGCCGGACTTTTGATGCGACGCTGCGCATCTGTGGCTTTTCCAGTGTTCTTGCTAGCCTTACCTTTCCTGACATCGAAGGCCTTCCCTGATGTTGTCATCACCTGATGACGTGAGCTTCTGCAGACACAGCCACCAACATACCAACAAACACTTACTGAATGAGATACCAGGATGATGCGATTCACCAGTGGTGTCTTCGAAGTTGCCCAGTCGCCTGTCCAAAATGCACGGAACTGCTTTTCTGCAGTCGGATACTCATAAATTTCCACTGCCTTCGGGGCAAAGAAGGTCCTTAGTTCAGCATACCATTGACGCACTAACGAGTTGGGCACCACAATGACGTGAGGGAGGCTGGGGATAGTGGCTTGGCCTGCGAAAAACGGGCGCTCTTCTAGTGAGTCAGGTCTGATGTCAGTTTATTGTTCAGAATAACATATGCAAGAGACAGGTCCAACAAAACAACTCCCTGGCAGAACGTGCCCACGTGTGGCTGTTGTCCTTCTGGGGGGCTTGCTGAGGGATACCAACTCACCTAGCATAGGTGCCTTGCGCATATTTGTCTTATTCAGATCTACCGTGACGCCTGTGGGTTTCCCTCGACCTGCGGCTACCTCCTGAACCCAGTATGCATCGATAATCATTGCAATCGCGCCCATCATTAGCGCTGTCTTCCCAACACCCACTTCGTCCGCCACTAGTACTCCAGGAACACCGTCCGAATTTTCCTTCTTCAACCACATCTTGTCCGCTAGTGCAGCGACTCCCACGCGTTGATGCCACAGCAGCGACAGTGGTTGCATGTCCGCATTGCCCTTAATGAAGTCCAACGAAACTGCCTTGTCCCACGCACATTTTCCGCTCTGCGAACGAAATTCTGCGAAGAGAGCTGGGCGCCCACCAGGGAATTGTAGGAGATGGTTGAGCTGGGCATCGTCCATATTGCTGAACCCCTCCACACCCAGGTCATCACTTCGTTGCCAATCGTCCTGACCGCTGGGGTTCCGATCGTCAAGGTCCATTTGTGGCACCAATGCCTCCCCTGGGACAACCTCAAATAGTTGGACGTACAATGCCCAAATCTCGTCGATATCGCCAGCGGCCGCCAGTGCCACTGGCTTCACCCTGCAAGCGCGCGAAGCCCCGCGTCCTCCTGCAGCACAATGCAAAATAGGTCAGTACTACATGCATGGCTCCCATGGGGGGCCGTTGTACTACGTACTCGCTGGTGAGTTGGGACTCTCTGCTGCAATCTTTTCCTTTGGCCGTTTCTTCGCCTGTGCCACAGCCGTGACCACGACTTGCTTTAAAAATTCCTCGTGCTCAGCCAAGCCATTTGCTTTCTCCTCTTCAGCGGGAAACCATGCAACGGCATCCCTGTATGCCTTCACAGCCTTGGTGGCATCGCGCAACATCTTTTTGGTGACATCTTTTGTGTCCTCGATTTCTGCACACCGAAGGTCAGTGCTGCTCTGCATCCTGCATGTACGTTACTCACGTTTCACCAATGACATTGATTTGATGCGTTTCTTTCCCAATGCCTCCTTTGCCCGCCGGTATCGCTTGCGATGGCGCTCCCAGGCGTGATGGAGGATGGTGTTGCATGCATCACGAAATTCTCCAGTCAATGGCCTTGACAACGCTTCAGTCCCCAGGATCGCAAGGACGACATCCTCTTTACCGCTCTCAGCATCCTTTACCTCTGGGAACTCCTCGGATTTCTCTCTCTGAATGAGTTGGATAGGTAGTACCTGTGACACTTCCAAGGCTTGGTCAATCCGTTCTATGAAAGCTGCAGAAACCTTTTGTTCCTTGAACCAGTGGTTTAGGGCATCTCGCCCTGCACCCCATCCAGACTGTTCTTTGCCTTCAAGAATCTCGTAACGGTCTTTGCCGGCCAATGCCTCTGCAACATCAAGCATGGTGTTCAATGACACCCGCTGCTTGTCTGACAGGTGCTGGTGTGGCTCCTTGAACATATCCGGGCCTAGCCCGTATATCTCCTTCAGAGTCTCGTCATCTTCAAAGATCCACGTCCTCCCTGCCAGGAGGGCGGAGATGATGGCGCTTTGCATTTTCTTACTCATACTTGTAATCCTACAGATGAGATTTATGGTGCATACACATAGGTGGTCAGAACTCACAGATGTGAGTGATGTTCGTTTTTTTTTGATTTGTTTGGTTTGTTGACTTAGCATAGGTGGGCAGCGTAGACCCTTTTTTATTAGTTTGTCGCTCTGGACCACAACTCATGGGCGCATCATGATGTCTCGCAATGGCAGTGAGATTGCGCCCTTTACGGACCCTTACAAGTTACAAAGCGGGAGTGCTGCGGCATTACAGCATCCGCTTCACGAGACGCCGTTTTCCAGAAGATGTGATAGTCGAGAACCCTGACTCCGAGCTAGCTCGGTTCCCTAAATGACCTGAGGAAGAGTCGTAGGCGCTCTGTTACCCTTCCGAAGTCCTTGGGCGCCCAAATGTTGATAAGAACATGGTACCTGCGTGTATTACTTCACTCACAGCAGAGGTCTTGACCTCTAGCACTACTCGCTTTGTCATTGCACATCTATACACAACCTGTACATGATAAGTAACAAGCAATCCGCTCGCCTGTGGACGGTTCAGTTGTACGGTATTCTGGTATTTCATTACAGCAGCAGTGAAGAATAAACTACGTTCCCCACTGAAGGTGAGTCCTTGTGAGCCGTTGATGTCCTCGCATATGCATGTCGCCATGGAAATTGGCTACAGTTTACGGTCCAACTCAAGCGCGAGGCAGACAATGGAATTTTACCTGTCTGTGGAATCTGCAGTTAGATAAAGCGTTGGTGCAGGGCAGTGATTCCCACACGCGCACGCGCATTTCGTGTGGTCTAGATGAGTGTGAAAATTTGCATGGGAATTATCCAAAAGATCTGTTGTATTACACATTCATGATGCAACGATCAGCGCAGCTTTTTTGGATAGGTAACTCGTCCCAGATGACAGCGGTGGCATTGTAAATGAGGCTCTGATTATTGTGGTGACGTGCCTGGAAGACTTCTGTCCTGTGATGGTAGAGCGGTGGAATGAAAACAAGGACGAGTTCGCAACATATGGAATGCAATTCTCTCAGAGGATATGATTGCGTCACCACTTTAATGTATGGACTCACAGAGTCCCCGGATATTCACCAACGTCGTGTACAGTCCTACAATGATGTCTGTAGAACTATCCTAGACCATTGTTCACAGACTCCTCACAAACCTTGGGGCACTGATGTGCGTATACGTCATCCTAGTATGAGGCGACTTCTTGTTGATGTCAAATGTCAGTCATTCTTCTCTCCTTCGCCGTCCGTCTGCATTCGTCCTCAGTCCTACATTCCATGTGCGTGCATGCCTCTCCAAAATTGGCTTCTCTTGCGGCAGATATCCAAGACGTGTACGTACACAGGCTTCCACGCATCTTCATACCCAGCTGATGTTGCATCAGCTCTTGATGCTTTGGGCGAGCTGCAGGAGACAAAGCCCACCACCCCATTTACCCCACTGTACCAGATTTCTGTTTTCCATCTCTCAATCACAATCCTGCCGGTGCACATGCGCTAAGTTTCTTATGTGATGCAAGTATGGTGCTCACCCTATTGTGGCGGCGCCATTGGAAATAAATGTGTTCGCTTGACTCGTCAGCGCCTAGATTTCTTTGCTGCTCGTTACCTTGTTCACTTATTTCAGAGAAGTTTCAACATACATATAAAATAGTTAGAATTCTGTTGGAACACCAAATATTGTATTGGTTTGACTACATAGAGTGGTAGGACTCTAGCGGAGCTTGAGACAATGATCTAGTAATAGAACGCAAGGTGTTCTTGAGCGACCTGATCGACATCAATACGATCAACTGCAAAATGGAGGAGAGCCTACCAGTATTACCCAGTTCTCCAAGGAAGACATGATCCTCAGGACCTCATTTCACGACAAGAGTTTCAGTGTAGATTGAACCACAGACACATGGAAAAGAAGCACGCAGCGTGATGCCACACAAACCGTCAAGGCACTGAAGATAGAATGATGCCACCGAGAGAAGTTGTTCGGCACCCACAGCCGTTGATACTGTCACGCGGATCGAAGATGAGATCAGTGCCTGGGAGCTGGTGCCAAGCTCCCAACTGTTGTGGGCGGTTCTGAATTCCTTTTTTGATTATGGGCGCAAGGCTGCAGATTGGACGCTGATTCAAGGAAATCTTGATTGAAGAGCGATCCTACTGAGTGCCTCCAGCTACCGTATGTGGTTCACCAAAAGAGGCGGCACGGAATGGACCTTCTTGCCACCTGGAGAACCCAGGAATTGCCCCCGCCTAGTGCTCAACCCCAGATTCAATGGCAAAAACGTAGCTCACAGTGGTACTGGGTGAGCGGCAGGCTGATGCGTAGGACCAGGTTTTACAGTAGTCCCTTAAAGAGCCAAGCAATGATAGGCATCAGATATCACACTGTAACCTACTGGTAACGTACCACTGTTTGAGACTACTGTGCAAGTGAGTTACTCCACCTCAATATCACAGAGCTCGAAGGCAATGCCAACAACCTCTATGCCAAGTTCGAAGCCACACTACACGCCTCCGAGTTGAACAAGAAGCAAAGGAGAAAGATTCAGAGCTCCATGCTGCAAGTGAGGAATCGAGCACTTCGGAGAGTAAGTATATGCAGTCAAGGAAGACACAGATGGCATGACTGTACGGACGCACAAGTATCTGCTTCAGCTCCGAGGTCAGGAATTGATGACTGTACCTTCAGTATCATGAGTATCAGTTATATAACACATGTAGGAGCACGCTGAACCAAGAGCTGAAATTATTCCATCCAAACAAGCATACTCGCTAGTTCAACTGATTCAATCAACGTTGCGCACTACAGTGACACGGCCTACATACAATAAGAAAGATGATATGACATGTCTCATTACAACGCTACAAACATAACATCAGCGAATATCCGAAAGGTATCAAGTAATATGATAGTGCAGTGCTTACAATTGTTGAGTCTTATAAGGTCGCAAGGCCAGCCAGGCTAGTGACTGGGCTGGGTGTCTCGACCTTGGGAAGTGGCTCCAGCTTACGTCTCTTGCCATTTGGGGTTAATTCCACTCGGTAGGGCAACTGCGATTTTGTGTACGCAGGCCGTGTCTTGTACTTCTTGTCCCGCAGAACTTCTTGCTCCACAGCAACATCATCAGAAGGCCAGCCAGGGTCGTTGAGGCGCAGATTGTAAATTTCTATGACGTAGTCGTGGATCTTATCAGGTGAATTCATGATCTTCATCCCCTCCTCGTTGCAGTAGACATGATTACTCATCAGGAACTCTTTTAAAGTCTCGTTAATGTTCTCCACACCATTCGGTGCATATTTCTCTCGGAAGTTATTGAATACCCGCCGCTCATCTGAAGTGACCACGGAGTACCGGTGCGCAAAGAACTTTATAAGTTCTTTGACAAGGGCGTCCAATGCATCACGGCCAACAAATACCTCACCCACAATGTCAGTTTGTGCAACAAGAAACCGCGATTTCGAAGATCCTCCGGAATCCAGCACCTCATCAGAGTCGAATATCTGCGTTATGAGAAGTGACCTTGCACTATCTGTCAGTGTAGTCTTCGAGTACTTCAAGCCCGTCCACATAGTGACGTAAAGGCTCGACTCCAGGTCATCCTCGACGCTATGTGAGGCATCTCTATTTGCGATGAGGTGACCAGACATAAACTGCCAAGTGCCCTTGGTGAAACCAAATTTAGTACAAAAGGGCACCTTTGTGGGATGAACATACCGTGCGGGCTATCTGTCGAGCACCCTGGGCGGTGACTAGCTTGGCTAGATCCCAATCAATAAGGATGCCCTTGCCCTCGAATATGACAATATTTCCAGCACTCAGGTCCCGATGTAAGACCTTTGCAGAGAGGTATGCATCCTTGTGGGCTACGTTAATGGAATATGAATATTATATCGTAAGATTTGAAAATACTTACCAATCAGGGCATCACGAACAGACTGAACGAATTCACGAGAGTGGCTAAAGTCTGTCAATGCCTCGCCCACCAGATTAAGAACCAAGCGGTAGTGTGCGTGCGGAGTGAGAACCTTGTTGGAGCATGCCCATGGTGCTGCTGCAAACTTGAAGGTTTTGGTGTGTTGCTGAGGGAGATGAGGTACATCATGGCATGCAATGCACGTCGCGACATTGCGAACATTGTGGGTCTTTAATAGCTTGTACGTATCCCCTTCTGGTGAGATGTCAGGTAACGCTATCCTCCAAGAGTCCTTGAACATGACGACTTTTTTGTTTTTAAAATTGAGTGCAGGACATGTGCGCGTGCCGCGGCCAACAGGGGGAAACCCACGTGCAACAGGTGCAGGTATAATCAGAGTAAGCGATTCGGAGCCCTCCTCAGCAGCAGGTACTTCGACTTTGAACATACGAGTAGGATCTGGAAGTTTTAAGTATTCCCGGGCGAGGTCAGCTTCCCAGCTGTCAGCGGGAGTGACCGAAGTATCAACACCACGTGTTTGTGGTGTTGCTTGTGCATACCGAGAGAAAAAATTGACCAGGTGAGGCTCGACGTTGTAAAAGATGGGGCGGGTGACGATGGCACCCTCCCTGTCCCATCGGATGATGCGAGCTTGATCGTGAACAATGAGGACAGAAAATATGTGGGTGCGGTACTGAGCGCCGAGCTGAGCGGCAGCGTAACTTGTGATCTGACCCAAGGTATCCATACCCTTGTCGGTGTCAGATATGAACTGACGGTTATCACTTGGGCCAAATGGTTCCCGGAATGGGTTGTCTGTGGAGCCCCACTTAAACTCGATAATCACTTCCACAGTGGAAACGTCGCAGTTAGGCTCCAATGGCGGATTGTCATATACACAGATATCCGGTTTGATGTTGAACGAGAATTGTTTACAATTTGTTGTGTCTTCATGGTTGTGAGAGTCGACAAATGATAGAGTAGGAACGAGTGACTTTAGGACATCAATCTGCAACACCGTAGTCAGTATGTCAGCAAATTTTGATATAGAGATGCACTCACGAAAGGTTTATACGCTGCCTGCTCAGAGGTAGCAGATACGGTTCCATTGAATGCATTATGAGTGAAGCTTGGGGGGTGGTAACCTGGAGGAAGTGGGAGGAACTCTTCGAAAAATTCATCCACGGGCATGGGACCGACGAGATAATCTCGTGTTTCATTCCCCATTGCATTCAAGGTGTCCACGCGATAACGTGCATTGGTTGTGAACGGGTGCATTGTGGAAGAACCTAGTTTGATGGGAGTGTCCGCAACCAACAGAGGCATCCCAGGATTTGTAGGAGGAGTGCTGGGCCTGCTGGCCTTGTCCGAGTCGGCGGACAGCTGTAGAGTGATTTTTGGTGCCATATCCACAGGAAAGGCGTTGGTATCATAACCGGCTGCTTGTTGTTGATACATGAAAATAGAAATAAGAAATTACTAGCATGTACAGTGGGTATAAGACAGTAGAAACCGAACTAGCGTTAGCACAAGATGAAAAGTACTTACAAGCAATTGTGGACCACACTGATTTCGAACAACCGCATACTGCCGAATCAGTCTAGTAACTAAATTTGGGTCCAAGCTCGCTGGCACCCGGATACAATAATAAGTACATCATAAAGAACTCAGCATTTGATCCTTGGAGCGCATATGCATGGGTGCTCGAGGCCCTTTGCATAAGTCCGTGGGAAAAATGTATTACCACCATCAGCCCATTGGACTGAGTGGAGAATGATTATATCAATTTCAAGGTCACGCACAGGCTTCATAATGCAAGCAGCATGCCACTTTACCTGGGATAGTATACGCTACAAGAGATAGAACCAGACGATCTGAACTGATCAAACATTGTGAAAATGCTCCATATTAGTATTTATTACTTGTCGTCTACTTAATTTAAAAGATGATATCATTACAGTGATACATGTGCATGAATGATTAGTGGGGAGTAGTTGGTATGGTGAGTACTACTTCTAGTAGATAGTACTGTGGTGTTATCATGATGGTACGGTATACATGGCGTTCGGTCATGACTCATTACTGCAGCCTGTAGTAGTACAGGTTCATCTCTAGAACATTGTATTAGTTGTGTGATTGATTGCATGGCCAGAACTCAGTACTCACCCTCCGTATCACTGATCTCAATTGTTGCATCATGCGAGCGAAACCGTCGGCACAGAAGCGCACGAATTTCTAAGATGATCAGTTCGGATGCTGAAATCAGGCTCCGGGGCGGCGATACGGCACTAAATGCGTACCATATTCGCCGCTAACATCTCCAGCTGCATCTGTTAAACGTGAGTTTGGGCTAGAATTGATTGCATGGAGAGAACTCAGTACTAGTACTCACCCTCCGTATCACTGATCTCAATCGTTGGACCATGTGAGTGAAACTGTCGGTGCAGAAGCTCATGAATTTCTTGATCAGTCCTAGCGCTGGTGGAGCGGTGGCCGCCTCGGATGCTGAAATCAGGCTCCGCGGGCGGCGATACGGCACTAAATGCGTACCATATTCGCCGCTAACATCTCCAGCTGCGTCTGTTAAATGTGAGTTTGGGCTAGATCACTGAGAAAATACTTACGCGACCGTTGCCAATCTGAGGTCCGTAAATGACGCGAGACATGTCTAACGTGAAAGTTAAGCATTAATGTGATCAGAGAGATTTGAGGATACTGACCGTGAATATTCCTGATTTGGCTTTATTGGTTGTGCAGTAATGGTGATCGAGAAGGACAATTACGTACCAGTAATAATCACACCAAATAGAGCTAAACAATCTCACTGCATCAACAAACTTCGTCCGGAATCCAATTATCTTTATTAGTTGCCCCAGATCACAACTCATGGGCGCATCATGATGTCTCGCAATGGCTGTGAAATTGTGCCCTTTACGACCCTTTCAATGGGCAAGACCACTGATCTATAATCAAAAGGTGTACGGGATAATTCAACCATCGTCTTGAAATGAAGGTACAATACGTTTCCTTACAATGCTGAAACCATGAAGAAAGCTATTAACTGCCTCCCATTTCTCCATCTCGGAATACTTGTGGAGTACTGACCGTGACGAATTCATCGGAGCCGTATCCCAACAATCAAGATTGACCTGCTCAAGGTAGGGGAAGAGACCGCTGAGGATGAGAGCTACGTTTAGTGGGGAAGATATTATTGAATTGCCTAGGGTGAGGTCTTTGAGACGCGTGCTAAAGTTTTCACCGCCGGGGCTTCTGAGATTGATGCCTTCCAGTTTCGTGGTATCGATGACAAGAGCAAGCGAAGTTAGAGAGGGGCAGAGCCGAAGCAAACCTAGCAGCCCATGGAATGTTGGCACTGCGGTGGTACCAATTGCAATATAGCAGCTGATTTTGAGTGCTTGGAGCCTAGGCCAGGCTCTTACCAGCTGGCACAACTCCTCATCGGAAATAGACGTGGAACAGCTCTTCTCAACTTCTAACCCAATCAAATTGCGAAATGCACACAATGGCATGAAGACAGCTAATTGCGTGGGTATATTCCTCGATCCAACCAGGCTGAGGCGTTTAAGTTTTTCATTGTCGCATATCTTTGGGAGTATGGCGAGGAACTGGAATAGTGGTGTAGATATGCTTTCGGAGGATTCCACAATCTGGGACGCAAAGACGAGCTCGATTTCTTCGCTTCTGATGACTTCCAGTGAACTCAAGAAGTCCATGGCTCGCTTGAATGCACCAAAGCTAAGGCGCAAATAATGCAAATTATGAAAGCCGGGGAATGACAAACACGATTTCCTCTCCCCAGCTGACGATATCCTTAGGTCCAAGTGCAGTGTTCGCAGAGCTTGAAGCTGCATGATGTGATCTATGCCTCTGTTTCCTAGGTCCCATAGCTTCAACGTGCGGAGATTGTGGAGCTGGGAAATAGGTTGTGCAATAAAAGGACTGGACAAGTCTTCCGTTGTAGGACGACATTTCAAAGACATGCTCTGGAGGTGAGGACACAGGGTCCCAAGAGAGGAAAGGACGGAGAGGAAAATGAAGGAAGCTGAGGAAAACCGCAAGTTCAAGACCAACAGGGATGGTACGAAAGTCATGCGCAAGAACTCTGCAGCAAAGGGACTTCCACCAGCGTGCCATGTTAATTTACAAAGGTTTGGAAACAGAGATGCGCGTGCTGAAGGATAAGACAGCATTATCAAACTAAGGGATCCAATAAACGCAGAGGGGTGGCTTGTTTGCTTTACAGTGATGGAGTGTACGCGGGACGTGTATTTGAAAAGAGTATCCCACATCTTGTTGTCAAAAGGTTTCTGCAAATTCTGCGCAAGTGAACTTAGTCTGAAACTCAGAATGAGTGTCAAAACTGGGACATACCCATACACGATCTGTGTCAAACAGGTCTGTTGGTAAACATTTGACGAGCGGCTCCACAGACTGTAAATTCCTCCAAAGGACATCAAGTGCTGGGCTCTGGAATGCATGACATGTGGATGCAAGTGCAGGAAGGGTTCCGTGTTCTGCATGTGAACTCACGGTGTGTATTACTTCAAGATTTTGCAAGGCTGCATGCATGACCTGCATCACAGAAAATTGCTCAACCCAGACATGACTACTATCTTGACACGGCATTAGGCGTGCTCAATTAGGGATGCTCCAAACTGTGGCTTTGTGTCATGGCTTGGTCTGGATTTTTTTCAAACCCCACGGCCCCACCCCTCAAGCTATTAAGATAAGTACAAAATAAACGATTTTATTCTCGCCACTAACCCATAGAACGTCCCAATCGCCACCAAGTCCGAAAAGCTTTGTCCGGTCAGCAATCTCTTTCCCTTTCCCTCAACATATTCCAGAGGCTTGTTCAACAAAACATGCAAAAAATCCAGTTGCGCACCCAGGTGATGCCTCAGGTACGCCACAACGACCACAGTCGCCCATATATTTATAAATCTGCCGCCTTTTCCAGGATCTTCGGGCCCAGCAGCGCCTCTAACTGAGGCGACGGCGAGAACGAGCCGTCATAGCCCTGCAGCAGGATAAGAGTGTACACTTCCTCAGGCATGAGTAATGGATGAGAGTCAGACACTACTGCGTGTCTTGGCAGTCATGCCCTCGGATGCGTGTTATGGGTTGAATCCACATTTCCTCATCATGTCTTCAGCTTGAACTGCAAATAAACATTCACCACCGCCCGAGCGAGCAATGCGCTCGCACACGGCCAATGCGACATGTTCACCGATCCCGAGGGTGAATAGCTTCAATGGCGTGTTTGGTCTGTAGCTATCTACAGCCACTGAGATGACCTCGAATGGATCGGGGTTTGTGGATGGCTGTCTCATCATTAGTTCGAGTAGAGCCTCAGCCGACATCAGACGCACATTTGAGTAGGACGACGACCCCTGCCTTCAGCAGACAGGGCACGTCCGTCACCGTTTTCCTTGAGCAGCAACCTCTGCAGCATCGCCGATGAGTATCGAAAGGATTCACTGCATGAAACTTCATACCTCGTCGCGTCGCGTCCTCTAACAGCTGAGTATCGACGTGTTCTGCAGGGAGCTGCACATACCTCACAACGGAACCGCGAATGAAGCAGTTTTTCACTGCCATCTAGAAACAGAAATGAATATGGAAACCGGATAGAAAGCGTACATTAAGCACCATGTGTGGGTGTCTCGCCTCGTCCAGTACATTGATCGAGTCTAAACGGATATTGAGAAATCTGGGCGAAGAATGGGAGTGCATCATCGGTGATACTGGATCTATGCTGAGATGGGAACTACGATACTGACTGGTCTACCGACTTCAAGACTCCGGTAATCGAGAGATCGTTCTTCAACTCGACGGTTACTCGTTGATCTGTCAGTTGTCTTGAAGACGGAGAAGATAAGCTTTTGGATGTCCAAATTAACAATCAGTTAAGTTCGCAGCAAGACGCTATGAAAGCTGACCATGACTAGGAGCCATGACCTTCACTACCCAAGCCTCTAGGTGATAAATCTTTTTGTTGCCAAGTCGCATTCAGGTCTCCTGTACACATGTAAGAAACTGAAAGGTTTAGCCGACGCCCACCTACATAAAATGCAGCCCAATGCATAACATCGGCTTTCATAGCCTCATCCACTCTCTCCACCACCCGCTCTGCAACGGTCTGGACACTATCAGTAACCTGTTCAGTATGCTGTACAGAGCGGCTCACCTTCAATATGATAGTTGGGGAATGCAGTGGGCAAGAAGCTCGTAGAGTTTTGCCCGGACTTCCAAAACGCGTGCTGGTGACTGTTCTTGGACGATGAGATCAGCGACCTTGTGGCAGTAGATCTCCCAGTCTGGTTTGGCGATTGTCAGTGAACCTGAAAGATCTGGCCTTCACACGTTGAGTCGCTGTAAGAGCGATATGGTTGCAGATTGAACATACGATTGCATTTTCAAGGCTTGGAAGACGAGTGATGCTTTGCGCATGTTGCCACCAGAGTCTTCGGCGATCTGTTGTGATGCTTCTTCAGGTAAGTCGAACTTCAGTTTCTTTGCTACATGTTCCAAGACAATTTGCATCTAGAGGCGTTCACCATCAAGTTTAAAAAGAGCTGCTTGATGTCTACTCACTTCTTCTGTGTTCGATGCAGCGACTCGCATAAGTAGACAACCACTCTTTATCGGTGCTATTAGTTTGCTGGTGCTGTTGGCGCAGAGTATTATTCACATGTTTGACATGTATTTCTCCATCGTTCGACGCAACGCTGCTTGGGCATCACGGGAAAGAGAGTCCGCTTCGTTAATCACAATGACTAACAAAAAGGTCAGGTTGACATCTGATTATTACGCAATGTTGGATGGTACCTTTGAATCTATGCTTCGCGTTCAAGTCTACCTGCTGCGTCTGCGCAATTTCCTTTAGCAAATCTTGAATGACAACTCTGTCATAATTTCCGGCCTCACTTCAAAGCATTTTAGACGATTCAGAAGAGTATCAAATGCCGAATAGCTGACCTGGGAGTGATCTCGATGTGAAAATTGCTTTGAACGACGTTTATTTCCAGCTTGCGTTTCGACGGCGAGATAAACACTCGTTGATCAATTTTGAGCTGTCAATTCATATTCATCAGTATCATCCAAAGCAAATCATAGAATTATACGATTCCTCTCACCTTCTCAACACCACTCCCAAACAGCTGCCTTAGAGTACAATTGATCCGTGTCTTCTTTCCAGCTCCAGAAGGCCCGTAGAAGAGCATGTGTGGGAAGTCGGCTGACGCAGCCTGTACGTATTGACACCATATGAGACGCATGACCCTAAAACATCTAAGAGCGACTTACTAGAGATTTCAATCGAATAGACAAACTCTGGTGGTAGTGAAGGTCATCCAAAGTCTTTGGTCATTACCAGCACCAGCACCCGCGCCAGTTTGAGTGAGCTCATCTTTTTTCATATCATTCCGCCTGACGCATCCATTCTACCAGTCCATTATCCTTAGCTTGGGTATATCATATGAGTTCAGTTTTCTTCCTTGCAGAAATTGCATATTGACAGAAAGCGCCGAGAACCGTACAAGAGTTTAGTTATGGATTTATTGAGGTTGAAGTATTTGATACTTCCTGTGCGGTATGCTGCCTTTAGGGAGGACAAATAAGAGTGGGATTCTATCCTTCGGTGCATTTTTGCTTCCTCAGTTGGACAATGTAGTTAATGTGTGCGTGAATGCACAGGCCTCGCCGATATGTGATGTTCCCCGAGGACGAAGCTGGGTTTGGGATTGGTGATTAGAACGCCAGCAATGTTACTCAAACAGCGAGTCGGAGCGCCTCATGACCAAGTTCATCAAAAAGGCATGCCTCACGGACATCCTAAATTTACATACAACGATATATGAACTCTACAGTGTAACATTCATCGCCCCCAGATTATAATCGCTACCAAGGGCTATGGCCTTATCGCAGATGATCCTTCTATCGTGATGTTCCTCATGCATGATCAATCGATCTCAAACAGCTGCCTGAGTACGTCAACCTATCTAGCTTGTCTTGCGCTGCAACCTTCAACGCTGTCGACACATCCCCTCACTCGTCTGGACACCCCATACGTCAATCTCGTGCAGATCCACTGCTTCAACGGCAATGACTGGACAACGTTTGTCAGCAGGCAGGATGAGCACTTACTACTCTACCACGAGGATATCCATTCCTAACGATAACAGCGTTTACTCTCCAGTTTAACATCACGTTTAGGAATGCGAGATGCTCACTTATTGCAAATATAACGGCCCCTTCCCAGTCTTCTTCGCTGATTCAAAATTCACTATTGGCAGGAGCCGCAACGATCGCCGTGACCATTCAGATGCCTTCTCCCATTTTCCAGTGTTGAAGGATAGAGAAGCGCGTCGTGCGAATGCGCCAGTAGCACGTACAGGGCCTGGGGAGTGAAATGAGCACTGGGTAACCTGTGTAAGAGTAGATAATGATGTCACCTGCACGTGCGTCAAAAAATCGGCCCAGCTTGATCGGAGGGTAGCAAGCAACGTTGCAGCACGTCTGACAAGAAACGGTCAAAATGTGAGCATCCGTAAGAAAACATGGCTCACCGTGCGCTGATGTCGCGAGCCGCTGCAGATACCTGGAGGTTGATTCGAAGATCAGACGTAAAACTCCTACAATATTAACTGAGACTGAAAATAATAACCATCAAAATTTACAAAATGGCCTTACTGTCGATGAGCAAGATGCGTAGCACCATCGATATTGGCGTCTGGAATGGATAGATTAGAAATATCAAACATGCCATCACTGTCAGCGAATAGAACAAAAATCGGAAGACCGTTGTGGTAATGATCACCCAGGCGACGCTTGGCTGCTCGTACCACATGTTGGCACCGAGAGCGATGCCGAAGAGAAGAGGGGATATCTGAAGCAAGACTGGAAAGGATTGCACGGCGACAGTATCAAAATACCACGTGATGAGGCTGTCGGACTTCTTTTGCCTGCGCTTCCATCGTTCCTCCTCCGAGCCGCGACCATATCTGTTCGACTTGCAGTACCCGAGTCACTGCTTTCCCAGTACAACCCCTTAGCAAGCTCATGGACAAGCTTGTGTGTGCGACCATTTGGATCCTCACAGCCGACGGGGACGGCGACCAGGTACATAGATGCTGGGTCTGCAGGATTAGAGCCTCCCTCAGCGAGGTTGTCAAGTCCGATCTCCATCCGTTATCAGCGCTTTGACCTCATGCGTGAAGACTGGCCTCGATATTTGCGACCATGTAACTATAAATACAGGGTCAGTCTCACTGTCTTCATCCAGCTAATCCACAACCACGTACATCCCTCCATTCGATACCACCTCCCACTCCACCACCACCCAATCACCCAATCCATCCTGGACATATGGCCAGAGAGTCGATGCCACTCCTGCCGGAAAACGCTGGCTTGCAGGCGGATATGCAGGCTGGAAAGTCTACAACACAACAGAAATGGACAAGACCTACGTACTCCTCCACCTGTTTATCAGCCGCGATCGTGACCGTGATTGATAGCAATCATCTCAACAAGCTCTTGAATTCAGGTGTTCTACCACGCCCCATGTCACTCGTATCCATGATCAGCGAGTAGAGAACCTGGCACCTTTCAGGTAAGACACGCCTCCATAATCTAACACATTCTATGTTTCTCCTGTAATACATAGTCACTGTAGTCACGTGGGTGACGTTTCCGTCCCATCGATTGCTCATCCACCATACATTCGTAAGGAATGTAGAAAACTCAAGATCAAATCGCGAGGAAAGTGAGCAAGGGACTGCGGACATATTCTAATGGCGAGTGTTATGACGTTAGATCCCTGTAACGTTCGAGAAAAAACACAAGTTACCTTCCCGTGGGTCTGAGCTGTAGTTTTCTGTTCTTTGAGAAATGCTCGCTTCTGGCAAACTTAAAATCGTTGTGCTCTCGCACACAAGCCCGTATGATTTCTTCAAAAATATGAGCATTTATGACGCGCCTATTGTGCGATGCAACATACCGTCATCAGATAGTGCCAAGAGAGCTGCCGCACCGCCAACAACATGGTAAGATCGATCATGTACCAACAATTTCAGTATTTGCGAGATTTCTTCCAAGATGACCGATCGAAATTCTTGTGACAAATTCTCTTTCAAAAGAAGAATCCTGAATCCCTACAAGAGTGTGGAGTGCTGTTGCAGCGTTCCTTTGTGAGGCCCACTTCTGGTGGTCCAAGGCCGCCACTATGGCGCGGAATATGGCAATGTTAGCTTCTCCAATCAACTCTTTCCCGTCAGCTGCAATTTTTCTTAGCATATATCATTATGCATAGAAATGCGTGCTCACGATAGTTGGATATGATGTCCAGGAAATCAAATGCTGCGCGATTCAGCGTTGGATCGCCCTTTTTGAACATAGTACAAAGGGCCGCTGTTGTGTGGGCTTTGAGGATAGTTGCCCTCAGTTCACCTATACAAGTGTTGAGATCTCGGAAGGGGAAAAGCAGCGCACAAGCTTACCGTTGTGCATGAGGCGTCCGAGCACTTCTTTACCAGGTTCATTCTCGACGGTTACGTTAAACAATCCTTGCTTGACAGCGCTGATGATATAGTCATGCGCAGATAGATCAATCATAGCTGTTCTGATGTTGTCTGCATTTTTATAGATTCCATGATGACATTGGGTGAAAAACTGACCGTAGTCCAGGATACGAGAGAATGCGTAAGCCGCAAGCAAACAGTTCTTCCGGTGTTTTAAACGATTGACCAATGTCACAACGACACCTTCCTCCATTGCTTTAGGTCGTATGTATGCTGAAAAAAGCTTAGCAGCAGAAGAGATGTTATCATATAAGAAACTCACGGTGCCGGAGAATTGACAACATCGCGAGAATAGCTCCACTGCTTGTTTCATGCTTTCGACTTTTCATCAGCAACACCAATTTCTCAATGAATCCTCTTTGAATCAAGTCAGTCTGAACGTCAACTGGAGGTCTGCTAGTCAGGCACTATATATGAATGCAAATGCATATGTCGTACTATGGCTCGCAAGTTGGCCAAGGATTTGGATAGCAGGATCCTCAATATCAGTTAAGCGACGTTCCAACATGTCGACCAAAAGTGCGATAAAACCACATCCTGGGTCGAATAAACGATCACAGAAGGTGTATGGATCATGCTATAAGCTCATCAGTCTCACGACAGCAACATGCGAAACTTACCGTGTCTTGCATACGCACATATAACATTGCCCACCGGTGGTGAGATGTAAAAGTCGTGCTGCTACCCTAACTAACCCTTCGTCTGCGATAGGCGATCTCACTTTGAATGTAAAAGCACGTTCAGGTCGAAAACTCACGTTGGCTGCCAAGAAGATCGGTGATGCCCTTCGCGGCCTTTTCTGTCACAGCCGGTCGGTACAGGTCTGAAGATATCAGTCATAAAGTGAATATCGTTCCGGTGGACTAAATTACGAACCATAGCTAGCAAGCAACGAGAAAGTCTGTGACGCATGAATTTGCACCATCAACGACTCGGTTTCGGAGATTCCTCCGAGGTCTAGTACACGCTGGAATGTCGCTTCACTCAAGATCTCATTCCCTACCGCGGCATGCTTGATTAGGGCGGGAAGGGCTCTGCGAGCTCGAATCTGATCGATATCGTCCCTGCTGTCCAGCATTTTCAACACGTCAGCAGCTGCCTTTTGGAAGTATTCTGCGTCAAGTTTGGGCACTGCAGAGAGTGAGAACACGTCTATGCAACAGGTTCACCATGACCTACATAGTTCGCTTAGTGCAACGGTAGCACTAACGTACTTTCGGATCATCGCTGTAACGGACTAGCTTATTTAACTGACTCTCCCAGCTGTCCGATTCTTTGATCGCAGCCCTTCCTTGTTCTATAAAGCCCTTAGAAGATAAATCATAACAAAGAAATGAAACACCCACCAAATGAGGTCATGAACGCCGGTCGGTCAACCGCGTCGAAACACTCTACTCCGTGTAACTGGATATCTCTTAGAAGCGAGGGCACGGTTGATTCATCAAAGATGTCCTTCTCCCACAGCTGACCCAGTTTGGAAAGTCGTCGTTGGCTGGCTGGATCATTCCAGTACAGCAATTCTGGCCAGACGTCGAAGTCCTTCCAGAATTTGGCCTTGGCTCTATAGTTGCCTTTGAACAAGACAGAGGCGTGAATCTTCTGTCCGGGGAGAATCACCCGAGGCGCGCCACGATGGAGCCTTCAGGAGATTCTAGTGAATTCATCGGTGCGCGGGGAAAAGCTTAAAGCACATACCCGAACGCGTGACTGTCTCGAGTGCCATAAACAACCCGCTTGACAAGAGCGACTTCGAGCAACCACCACATGCTCCTTAGAGATTCGTACGTCCTCTTCTGCAGGTCATCCATCTTCCAGACTAGACTGGTGACCAGCCCGTCTATGAGGCAAGCCGTCGATAGACGGACTGGTAAAACTCTGGAAGGAATTTGACTCGCCGCTCATCCAAGGCAAGGGCATGTCTGAAATAGCACATATGGTGGTCCCCGTCAGTGGTCGAAGGTAGCGTCTTGCCCCTCACAACGCCAACCGAAGATACAGTATCCCTTGAGATGAATGAATAAACCGATATCATCCATGTTCCAAAGGTGAAAGTCTTACCATACGCAGATGAAATGGATGTGGACGTGCGACCTGCAGAATGTGCGCTTGAACGTTTCAGCAAGTTCACTCGCCCAGGCATGTCTGCGCCGAGATTTTCTCTTTGAGGCATTTCATTTGTTTTCGAATATAGCTCGAATGCGCTGAAGGTCGCCTAGATGAAGATGAGAAAGAAACTATGGCGCAAGATGAAACTGTGCTTACAATGGTATTTGCTCGCTGTTGCCAGGAAGAATCGGGCCAACCTAATGAAAACCAATGATCATGCGACGCAGCATTTCGTCAGATGACTCACGCGGTACGCAGAGATAAGATCGATAAGACTCGCGACCAACACGATCGTACACTCACTTGGTCTAGAGAGGTGATTAATTGATCGGCAAGGCCGACTTGGCGGAAAAATTCTAGGAGTTTCGTAGGGCTTGATTTGGGCTTGATTTGGGCTTGATTATGGATAGAAAATGAACTTGAAGTTCCGACAGACCAGTGTCGGCCGTTGCACTGCCACAGCACCCATCATGAAGTTCCGTCACGACGTACAGATCAGCAAGGTCGTGGCTGCACGTGCAGCAAAGAGGGCAAGGCAGCATGGAGGTCGCAGCGAGCCCGAGGTTGGAAACTCACCGATAGAAAATGTACGTGTTTTGTTCTAACTTCTGCTTAGCGAAATACTGATTGTCACCTGCTTCGGAATAGATAATGCTAGTCAATACGAGTCTTATCTTGAGAAGGCCACAAATCTGTCCCATTATTACTCTGTCACCACGGTGTACCTATACTAGTACTAGCCACTTTTTTCCCTGTCAGCGTTTAACAATGACGCACACTCAGCCTATCTATTTGGTGAGGCGGGTGCGTCCCTGTAAGCATCACCCCGTCACGATGTTTATCAGGAACATTTCTAGTATTATATTGGAGGCCGCGCCTTGCAGAAGTTTGAAATGTCTCCTTTTACAGAATATTGCGAGCTACCCCAACTATCTTCCCTGGGACTTCAGGCCTTCCACGACCCGTGTCACTATACTCTCGTCTACTGCGAGTGGGATAGGATAGAGCTTTCCTGATTCATCTCGAATATTAGCTCCTTTCTCCCAACTGCCTGCCTGGTCCCGTATGGCGGTAGATCCCCGCTCTGACAGAGTCCCATCCTTTGATTCAAATTGCCGAGAGAAGCGGGCCACCTTGCACAACAGGTGTTCAACAAAAATCGGAGAGAATCGCAGTACCACCTTGTCTTCCTCATGGAGATGTTGCTCGAGGTGCCAATATACCACTTCGAAGGCAGCTTCTATGCTTTTTCTCAAATCCACCCGGAAACCCAGAGCTTGCAGCCCACTTCCGGCTCCTAGGTGTCGATTCTCACCAACCCATGCTGCCATCTCTTCCACTCCAGGTGGATCGCAAATCTTCAAGTCAACTGCGTTATTGCAGAATTGAAGGGGAGTAAGACCGGAGTTGAAGCACGTTAATTTGTTTTTGTTTAACCAACACTTGATATCGCCGTATTTGGGTTTCTGCCCTTCGTACGTCTCTGGGTCATTTCCAGCCAGGTCACCCAGGAGTTGTAGCCAAGAGTCTTGAATATTTGGGTCAAAGTACTCCTTGAATTTATCTTCTAATGTGATCCGCTTCTTTGGTCCCCCAGTAAGAGCCATATGAGCGCATGGTCGGCCCCAAATTTTGATATTGCAGCATTCGACGCCGTTTTCAACTGCCTGCCTGAAGGTTGTGATGCAATCTTCCAGGGTCTGGAAAAGCATCGTATTTGAAAGTAAAAACTCTCGGGTCATGTACCCCAATCCAGCGCTCATATAAGCGAGTAGGCTGGACACTCCAGCAGCAGTGACGAGGTTTTGTGGGGTGAATGATGACCGAAGTAAGCCAGAGTACCGGTTATCAAACCGGATGATATCGAATTGGTCCAGATCCTTGTTCAAGGCCACCTCTCCTACGGAAGGTCGCAACCCTTGCATCACTCTGTAGATGTAGATGTCCCCCACCGCCCTACTACCTGACTCTCTTTTCGTATTAAGCGCTTCCCTCAGCATGAGCCCTATCTGCCCAAAGGCGCTGCACGCATCTGGAACTAGAGTGCGGGGTGTGATAGGTCCCTCCATCTCCGCCTGCTTCAACCTGTTCGCAAACGGCCTGGCTGCCAGAAGTTGGTAAGGATTGCGCCGAGAGAAGCCCTTGCAAGACTTGAGGTTGACTTCCTTTAGGAAGGCCCATACTCCATCGCCAACGATCTTTATGCTATCCAAAACTGGACCTGTGAAACGCTCTTTAAGGCAAGGTTCCAGCAAGGCGAACAATCCATCTGGGTCCTTTTTGACTCGTGCAGCTATATCCTGGTCTTTCAGCCTGTAATTGGCTTCAAACAGGTACCTGGGATTGCTCAGCAGGTCCTTCCACTCCTGACACGCTAGGATCCCATCCTCCCAGTTACACATCTTCAACACCGCAACCAACAAACTTCCCCGTGCAAGGAATCGGCTCTTCATGACGTCCCCATCATTTGAATACTTTTTCCCTCCATTGAAATACGTGTCCAGGGTGTCCACCTGAGGATCAATCAGTTCCTTGAGTTGGAATAAGTGTACTCGTTGTCTACCTGGGGCTTTATTAATTCCTGGTATAGGAAATCAGCAAAGCAACGCTCGGCAGCCAGATGCTTGCTAGTAGTGGCGGAGCCTACGTTATGGGAGTTTAACTTGGGTAGTAGCTTAGTTGAACTGCCGTCCCGAGCGATTTGCATGCCAAAGAGGTGGGATGGGACCCGTCGCAAACTCTCTACCTCGGCTGCCTTTGAGTCCGTAGTTTCCCCATCATTTGGGTGCGTCTTCTTTGCCTTCTTCTTTGGAGGTTTCTTTGCCTTCTGTTTCGTCGCATGGACCGCTTGTACGTAGGCCAAAGTGCGAATAAGAAGTGGAGCAAATACTGGGGAGGTCTTTTTCAAGGCAGCTTCGCCATCATTTTTCAGCACGTAGAGAAGGTCCCGCGTTAAAAGAGGCAGAGTTCGAGTCGTCCAGCAGTATAGGAGAATAATGCACCGGCAAAATTGCCACGATATGGCACGATTGGTAAGATCGAGGCCGTCTCCATGATTTACTAGAGTGGGGAGGATTTTAGCTGCGTGTGTGACCTGGTCAATCATGATATGAGCATTGACGGTGTTCCATTCCCTCCCACTTATAGTTTGCAATTTGTCGTCCTTGAGAACTTGAGCTTGGATGGCCTCCAGCGCATTTTGACTGTCAACAGGTTGAAGTGACTGGCTGATGGAAAGACGTTTGATAGCATCCTCCACAGCTGATGCGTGACGATCCATACTTTCCTCAGTAATAAAAGCGCATAAATCTTTGTATCGCTGCCCCGTCTTGGAGAGCTTGAGTCCCAGGCCCCAGTGTCATATTGATGCAACATTTTGCTGCAGTTGCAAGGGATCCAGTGATGCAACAGTGCAGCGTGGATCCTCGGATAGCACTGATGCATTACTGATGCAATACTGATGCATCAGTAATGCATCAGCCATGCATTGCAGGTCGGCTCATTGCTTTCCCAGCCCATCACCCAACTACTTATAGTGTGCGCATATATTCATTTTCCTTTCTCCCTTTCTCCCTTACTTATCACTGCTTGTATTCTGTCAGTCCGAGTCACGATGTTCTGTTCCGTCTCGAGTCCAATTTTTCACGCGATGCAGGCTGATACTTGTAGCATGCGCATATATTCATTCTTTTCAAGTTTTCCCTTACTCGTATTCTTTCAATTCCTGCAAGTCTGAGTCACGCCGTTCTGTTCTGTCTTGCGTCCGATCTTAGCTTTTCCTTCGCGACAAGCTTTCACAATGCAAGAATAACTTCATTCACTAATCATAGACAGGATAAAGGTCTAGGGACCACATCTATTACATCTGTATAGCGTGAAAATTTATGATCAGAGCATGGATCAAACAGAGAACTTCATGGAGCCAACATAAAGCCAGTCGGCTCACGCCTTCGTTCGTCTTTTCCTGTTTCTGTTAGCGAGTGAGAATAGAGCAGGATTTTTCAGACATACTTTGTTGGAATCACACCTTCTGCAGTCGAGTCAGCAGTACGCTTCGATGATGTTCCCCCAACCTCCTCCAAAACACTTGGATTTTCCTTGCTACCAATACCAACGAATGTCATGCCATCTGACCCGATTGTGTCAGCAATATCATTCCGCCTGGATTTGATTGGAATGCGCTTCGATACACGTAGTGCTGCCGCGGTCCGGTTTGGTCCGGTTCATTGAGGGTTGAGCAAGAACCAAGAACCGAACCTAGGTCCGGTTCTAGTAGACTTGCCGAACCTTGGACTGGACCTTTGCGAACGGTTCAAAACGGTCAGGTTCGGTTTTTTTTCGGTCTGAACGCGAACCGAACACAAAAATTTTTACAGCTAGTGACAAAAAACATAGACAGTGTAGCTACTTGTCCAACGAAGCTGCATGGCCCTCAGCCTCTACTGCTGCAGAAAGGTGCCCATTCCTATATGCTCCCTTCAGCAATTGTAATGCAGTGAACGTGGAAGTCGCGAGTGCATTGCGTCGCATACCCATTCCTTGTCATTGCGAGTGAAGACAGTGCGAACATCAGCAGTGCGCTCACTCTTTGACAGAGTGGCTCGGATGTTTGAGTCTTGAGGTTCATCGTCAGGTTCATCTTCAGCTGTCGGCGCATCGTCATCTTCGGGTGCGTCCTCATCTTCGACTGACTCAGAGTGGCCAGTGTGGCCAGTGCCAGGATCAGTGTCAGTATCTGTATCGGCACCAGCCGCGTGAAAGTCGTCATCATCAGATAACGGGGCTGAGAGCTGCAATGCGACCTTTTTGCTGACTAGCCGCTCGGTCGCACTAGATAATGCACGTTTGCGGGCTGTTGAGCTGTTTGAGGATGATGGGTGAGAGCAAGCGTTGTCGGCATCGCGGAGGCGAGCAGAAGGCTTGAATGTCCGAATGGAGCGACGAGCACCTGCAGTAACCAGTGCTGGTTTGCACCCAGCCTTCAGCAGCACTGAGAAGGCGTCTGAGCCTGTGGGAGTGGTAGATAGTGTTGGCTGGGCAGAGGACGGAGTGCCAAGTGGGATAATATCATCAGGGTCATTGTAAAATACAATATCTTTGGCGTCCTTGAGGGAGCCGTCAGCATTGAGAGCACATCCGTCAGATTCGGACATGTCGAGAGGAAATGATACAACTCACCTGGTGGGGCTTGCTCCCTTTATGTGTGAAACAAGCAAACAGTAAATCTATATCAATGATATATCAATCAGTATATTGAGCTTATTGACAGTTGACATACCTCGAGCGTCTCCTGGAAACCGGGGGCAAGCAAAAAGTAGATCTATACCAATGTGATATACCAATCAATATATTGAGATTATTGACTGGCAGTTCACATACCTTGAGCATCTTCTGACAACCGGGGGTGCGGGATGCGAGCGTCCGATTCAAAGACAATGCGAATCTTGAGGATCCCCGAAGTCGACATGACCATGGGGGGAGAAGTCGAAGTCGAAGTCGAAGTCGAAGTCGAAGTCGAAGTCGAAGTCGAAGTCGAAGTGAGCATGGGTGTGCCTCGCCGATATCGCGAGGACAATTCGGTTCGGGGTTCAGAACGGTTCGGGAACGTCCGAACCTATGTGAGAACCGTTCAGAAAATAGTGGACCACGAACCTCATTTCGGTTCGGTCCGTCCAAAATATGGAACCATGGACCGAACCATGGATGGACCTGACCATTGGTCAGGTTCGAACCAAGGTTCGGGACCGGACCACGGCAGCACTAGATACACGTGCCGCTCCAATCTGACTCGCAGTAGCTTTTTGCACGATATTATTGATAGTAATCGAATCACCCAACGCGTTACCTTCATCATCTGCAGCGACGTGTGTTGTCTCCATTACTGCACTAGACTTGGTACTAACAGGATGTGCCTTGGGTTTGGGTTTGGGTTTGGGTTTGGCCTTGGGTTTGGCAGCGTTCGCAAGCGTGATCACAGGGATATGCTCAGTAGAATTGACCAGGGGAGTGAGTTTTGCTGTAGTGGGTGCGGCCGTAACAGTGGGAGTGTCTGTGATAAATTTGGCGGCAGAGCGAGGCTTGTCGGTGTGTGCTGTGAGAGACTTGGTTGTAGGAAGTTTCGACTTGGACTTGCGCTTGGACTTAGCACGTCCGGTACCAGCCTGTGAATCGGGAACTTCAGCAGGTTGTGCGGTCTCAGTCGGAGAAGGGGGGTTGGCAGCTGGAAGGGTGGGAAGCTGATAAGTAAATTGAGGAAGGTGCTCGTCAAGGCTAGGGCTCGTGGTACTGCGCTCAGCGGAGGTTGGAGAGGTCAACGAAGAAGACAGACTAGATGTCTCCCACCCTGTCGAATGAAGATTGTCATTGTTGAAATTCCACCCGTGCATGGTGTCAGCAAGCGAGAATCCCAAAGAAGCTGGTGAGCTGAATGATGTGTTCTGCACGGTACTGCTACCAAGATATCCCGTAGCCATAAGACCGGGCTGTAAAAATCGGGCCTCGAATGGTTCAATTGAGCCGAGAGGCGCACTAGCTTGAGGCATCATAACACTGTGCAAATCCAGTGACCAATCAGGATATTGGGACTATATCAGAAAATCGTCAGGTAACATAGTGGGAGTGACGGCGTGTAAGACTCTTACCTGAGAGTAGAATGGTCCCGTAAGCTGAAGTGATGCATCAGTGAAGCCAGCCGGTGCCAGCGCCACGGTGCCTGCCATTGATGCATCAGTTGTCGTTGATGCATCAGGTCCGGTTGATGCATCAGGTCCGGTTGATGCATCAGGTGTCTGCAAAATCGTATAAAGGCCGGGGTTATCCCAGCTCATGGTATCAGTACCTCCTTCGTTCTCCTCTCTGCTTTCATCCTCTTCGCCACTTTCATCCTCTTCGCCGCTACCATACTCTTCGAGTTCCTCACTCCTGTTGCCATCTCCGACGTTCGTGGTAGCTGGCAGCAAGGGGTCATGTTCCTTCGCAGCTGACAAGTGTGTATCAATGCGAGCCCATAATGATAATGAGGAAATGACTTACAGAATATTGATTCTGCAAATTCCTGGTACGCACCGAGGAAGGCATAGTCCTCATCAGGGTACAAGTGGGCAAAATTGCGCCCACCAGAGGTTTCTGATGGATGGCACCTTAGTTGGAGGTAAGCACGTTAGTTATACTGCTGATTCGGTTCACTTACGATAAAGTAACTATGTTCTGATTATGCCTTGGGTCAGGTCCGGCGCACATGAAGGACACAATGAATTGAGTTTGTTTTTTGACAAGGCGTGCAAAGCGCTGGCATATGATTGGCAATTCGTCAATACCTCTGTAGGACATGTGAGTATGATTAAAACCAGGTACATCGACCGAAACACTTACTTTGCGATGGCATCAGGATCACTTTCATCGTTATCATCATCTTCGTCATCCAGTATGTCACCCTTTCCCTTGCTACCTTTTATCTGCTTGTCGTACCTCTTTCTAACCTCCTTCTTAACCTCGTCCGACTCATCTTCTAAGAGCTCCTTGGAGAACCTTCGACCCAATGCCATGCGGTGACCAGAAGTAGTCACATTGCCCGCTTCTTGTTCGGCCTTGACCAGGGGTTTGATCTGCTCGTCGTAGACCATGCCCATATAGATCTCTTCGACAGACTTTGCACGCGTCTTCAGTCGCAGGGCGGCATCAAAGACAGTCTGTTCCTTCTTCAAGCCGCGATTCTTTTTGGATGAACCCGCCCGCCAACGGAACCAGGTTGCCAGTTGCTACAAGTATTTTACTTTAGTTTACGATACAAAAAAAACACGTAGTCGACGACTTACAACTTTACGTTGCTCTTCAGCTTTAACTTCTTGTTTCGTCTGCTCAACAGTGAGCGACACGTCACCAGGGATGTCGGGGAACAGAATATTGCGCTCTGGCCATGTTTTGAACCAATATTTGTGTATGCCGGGCCAGAAGCAGGAGTAGTCCTTGTCCCCAGTGCTTTGCTGCATGTACTCTGGCATTTGTTCTTGGAGCCATGTATACTGCGCTTTGGTAGTCCACGAAGCTGCTGGCATTGTTGTGCGTGAATATGAAGGATGATGGGGAAATAATTCCCATATGAAGTAGACGTCCATCCTTATATTATTCGCGAGTCAATACCGAGCGAATAAAAAAAAATAGAGCTATTTTGGTATCGACTTACCACATTGTCAAATTAGGAGAGGGTGGTATGGATGGAAACGACGGAAACAATGGTATCGGCACCGATTTGTGTTTTAGAATGACTAGTGATCAGGTAATGAGGGATGACGACACAATCTGAGTGTTGCGTACTACATACCGGGAGGTGTTAGCTGTGCCTGCACTAAGATTGATATCGGCTTCATATTGCCTCCAGTGGATCTTGAGATGAAGTTGGTAGACTGGCCATCGTTGCTGAGTGCACCGTTAGCCCATTGTTATTGTCCATGCAATCATGTAGACTAACCTATGACGATGATGGGATGTGACTTGAACCAACAATAAGTGTTCGGACAGAGCGTCGTGACAGTAATAAGCCTGAGTATACAATGTGGGATCAATCAACCAAAGACTCACCTAGACATCGAGTAATAAGTATACAATGTGGGATCAAACAACCAAAGACTCACCTAGACATCGAGAAATGAACATTAAGCAGTAGTTGAGTTTCGATGTGCTTATGTGTGTAGCCTACTTTAGAACGTCAAGTTAGCGTGTGGCAGTGTGATCAGTTTGCAGGTGTCACAGACTCTATCATAGCGCTGACTATTCTACATTTGTAAAACTCACTCACACATAGTACACACAGGTGAGACTCTACTGTGCTGGATCTGTTCAACTATTCTACACTCATAAAATGTTTCAAGGCTGCCAATGCTGGCAAATTTCTGTCTATTATTCTTGCTCTCATCCACCGGCCAGGCCTCAAAAAGATTCGAGGATTGGTTACTAACGCTGGTAAGTTTCATTTCAATCCTTTTTGTTGCGACTCATCCACTGGCCAGGCCTCAAAAAGATTCGAGGATTGGTTACTAACGCTGGTAAGTTTCGTTTCAATCCTTTTTGTTGCGACTCATCCACTGGCCAGGCCTCAAAAAGATTCGAGGATTGGTTGCTAACGCTGGCAACTTTCAGTCCACCGGCCGGGCCTCAAAAAGATTCGAGGATTGGTTCCTAATGCTGGTAAGTTTTGATCCTTTTTGTCATAACTCATCCACCGGCCAGGCCTCAAAAGATTCGAGGATTGGTTGCTAACGCTGGCACCTTTCAATCCACCGGCCGGGCCTCAAAAAGATTCGAGGATTGGTTCCTAACGCTGGTAAGTTTTAATCCTTTTTGTCGCAACTCATCCACCAGCCGAGTCTTCTTATTTGCCCTTGTACTCTACTTGATTAGCACCTGCAACGTTGTAGTTGTCGCATCATGTCTAGATTTGATTGTATAGTACTAATATTTCTACAATACAAGAGTGTGTGTGTTTCGTCTGTATGTGTGAGTTTTGCGTGTAGAATAGTTGAACGTTAGAACCAGCGCCATAAGACTCAACTTGCAATTTACTTGAGTCTAGCTCATAATTTGATCGTTGTATGAGGTAGAACCCCGACATACATGCTCTGAATAATTAGCTACTGCTATACCATTGATTTTGAGTGAGACATGATTGGTGATCATCGGATATCAAGCAATTAGTAGTAAATCTCCCAAAGTCGACGCGGCTACTTTCAACAACTTGTTCTAAACTTGGTTACTACTACATCATGGGCTGACCTCGGCTGTATCACACATCACAAGATAAAATTGAGGCTGCTCATTCTTACCGCAAGAAATACTATGCAAAGTAAGCACTTGCTTTTCTGTTTTAACTACTGACATGTATCAGGAGACGCAGAAATAGTGCAATCATCAGCAAGAAGAACCAGCAAAAATCTTGCAAACAACACAACTGTCCGACCAACAATGATGTTGATTCCCAAAGCCGTAGCAGGTACAGCGTCCGCACGAGATCATCACAAAGGCACCCATGGTGAGCTGCACGTTACTGATAGCTACTTGAACTTTACATTAAACTATCATTAGGCAGGAAGACCTCACAAGTGCCGAAGCTGCACTTGCAGACATTATTGGTGGATCCTCGCGAAGACTTTTAGATGGGCTGGTGAATGATCTTTGTCAGTCAGGTGACGCGGGAACATGCATGCATTCAATCAATGTATTACTAGGTGGTATGGAAGGCATTCAACAACGTCTCCGGCTACTTCATGGGATCGTTTTGCAGGCTATGGGGACAGGAGAGGAGTTGCAGCGAGTAGATTTGATATCCCATCAAGCATCTAGCCTCATCTTAGCACTGGAGGACTTGCTCATGCATGTCATGGTCGACCCTCACGATGCGCTGGAAGGTCATACACGTGGTGAGCTATTATACCAGACTACTTGTGATATCACTGTCTCGCAGTTATGATAATGATGTGATGTTAGTGATGCATCAATCATGTAATCTTCAATCCTGACACGGTGATTGCAAGCACCGAAACTCTATCAAACGCTAGCCCCCGTTGGTCTAAGATGCTTCTAATCCATTCTACTTGGACCGAAACTCTATCAAACGCTAGCCCTCGTTGGTCTAAGACGCTTCTACTGGAACCTCACGTTGGCCGCTGCCAATTTGACTCATCAACATTAACACTTGTGTTCTAAGGTGAGTGATTTGCCATATCAATGGAAGCGCTAGGTATCAAGCTAACCCAAAATTTCCTCGCTGCCAGTCCGTCTCTCCATGTGTGATCCCCTTTGGGTCGACATCACTACAACACCCTACATGGCAGAGCCAGAGGAGTCTGTGACTGTGTACGAGGGCAGTGTCGAGTTTGATGAGGCCGTCTATGCTATGGCGGATGAATGCTTTATTTTTTCGTATCTAGGAATATTCTACAACATGCCTGCCAAGCGCGATCTAGAACCACCTTTCTACTGCGTTACCTATGGCCGCTACATTGGAGTTTTTCCGTCATATCTCTGGTGAGATTTCCATCTCATTTCCATTTTTATACTTAAACACCCACCTTAGGGATGATATAAAAACTGAACTCCAAGCCCCAGGCCATCGTGCTCCTACCTACTTTGCTGTTCGGTCGCTTTTTCTCGGGAACAGAAAGTTCATCGTGCCATCCGGCGTAGGCTCGCAGCCAGTAGATGACACACTGTAAGTTTGATGTTGTATCGTTAGTAGCATTTGCTAACATTGCTCGGTCTATAGTCGGGACCGATTATGGAGAATGTATTCAGTTAGAAGACAATCAGAGTAAGGAAGAGATATAAGGTTTTTTGTGAGGCTCATGGCGTGCAGCCAGATTCAGTTAGAAGACAATCGGAGTAAGGAAGAGATATAAGGTTTTTTGTGAGGCTCATGGCGTGCAGCCATTCAGTTAGAAGACAATCAGGGTAAGGAAGAGATATAAGGTTTTTGTGAGGCCCATGGCATGTAGCCAGTATCTCAGGTATTCCGCTTTGGCTGAGGAAAAGAGCAATCAAATTTCTGGAGCATCCCTAGATAGAGATGAGTGTTGGCTTCATCGACGCCCTTCGGCAAGTCACATGACATGTCAGGCTCGGAGAGCTGCATATGATTTCTGTTTGCTCGACACCATCTAAGAATGTCTATGGGTCCTGGTCCGTCTGAGGCAGGGCCACCATATCCAGTTCAGACTATCATATGTACCAAGGCAATGTCCTCTACCTCGAAGAACTCGCCAAAACGGAAGAGGAAACCAAAGCTCAATTTCTATCGCACAGCGCCAGTAGTCCATTATCGCCAGCATACCCAATACCAAGTCAACAATGATGGCTCTGTCAGTTATACGCAGAAGTGTCTTCTACCTCCTAAGAATGCTAAAGCAACCATCCCGGACCATTATATTGATCAAACTCATGCGGAACGAACTCTATGCAACTCAGACACCTTTTTTTCAATTCCAGAGCCACTTGACGATCTCCCACTCGAAGTATCATTAGATGTTCTAGGCCAACAAAGGAGAAAACGAACAGCAGGTGTACGTGCACTACAATGTTTCACATAATTTGACTTCCCCCTCACAATGTTTAATCAGGACCATCCTTTGTTGACGTGGCTGAATCACAGAGCGTTATTCCTTCGAGAAATGATCCGTCTTGAAGGAAGAGTCAGCATGCGGTTGTGCTTAGAGTGTGATGGTCCCAATCCTGAGTACAAATGTCAGGACTGCTTCGGGTCAGAGCTTCATTGCTCAACTTGTATTTTGTCAGTCCATGCGCACCACCCGCTTCACCGATTGCAGGTATGTCTTTGCATTTAATTGTGATAATAGACTTAATCTCAAATACAGAAGTGGAACGGTCAATACTTCGAGCGAATTTCTCTGAAAGCCCTGGGCCTCCGCATTCAGCTTGGTCACATCACTGGCCGGCAATGTGTCAATCCTCACCGTGCTTTTAATGATGATTTTGTCATTATCGACATCTTCGGTATACACGAAGTGTCACTCGACTTCTGCGGTTGTGCAATAGCCGAAAGTCGTATGCAACAGCTACTTCGAATGTCATTATTTCCTTCAACAACCTCAGATCCAAAAACTGCTGCAACATTCCGCGTTCTGGAGCAGTATCACCTGCTCTCATTTGAGTCAAAAATATCTGCCTATGAATTTTATCATGGACTTCGCCGGATGTCTGACAACACCGGTCTACTTCTCATTAAGGTAGGTTCAAAATTTCAAGTATCCTTATGGTCAGTAAAGCTTCTTTACAGGATCGATACGAGTCGTTTATGCGGATGATTCGTGAATGGCGTCACCTGAAGATGCTCAAACGCTCAGGGCAAGGTCACGATCCGAAGGGTGTAGAAGCGACAGCTCAAGGTGAATGTGCTGTATTGTGCCCAGCTTGTCCACATCCAGGGAAGAACCTTCCAGATAATTGGAAAGATGCACCTCGACGGTGAGTTTTAGATAGCTTGAGTGGTATTATCGCTGATATAGATACTATTAGTTGGCTCTACGGATTGTTCCTTGCTATCGAT